AGAGAGAGAGAGAGAGAGAGAGAGAGAGAGAGAGCGAGAGAGAGAGAGAGAGGCTGGCGTGAGTGCGCTGATGTAGATTCTGTTTGCACTCATGCCTCCAGCGGATGAGAAGGGAGATGCAGACAACAGCTGCTGCCGGGCCGCTCGCGCCACTTTTTTCTATTCTTTTTTCTTCTTCTTCATCTTGCTCTGCGCCACAGGGTTAGGTTAAGTTTAGGTTTTATGTTTTCTACCGGCGGCCTGAACAGGGTATAAGATTCGCAGGGAAATACACGGGAATCGACAATATTTATGGCGTAACGCAGCTGGCATGGCAAGATGTCTCACGCGTTCGCGCATCATAAAGATATATATCAAGAGTACATAATAGAGATATCTATAATGTACTCTTGATATATATATATATATAAGGTACCATAGACAAATGTTGCACTGTATACGACCGAATGTGGCTAGGATTCGGCCCTTTGCAGCTAGGGTGCGGTATTTACATATCTGCAGGGAATAGCACACGCATATGCACGCGCTCCATGTGCATACACCTATTGAATATAATTTACTTTGAACACAATACATGCGGTTACATAATATCTGACCCTAGAAATCTCCGCAATCCTAACTGTGACCCATTTAAACCTATAAACCTAATACCTAATTTTAAACCTACGCTTATAAGTTTAACCGTAACTCCACGACTACTAACGTTAATGGTTAATCCGATCTCAAAGGTCAAAGATGAAAAAAGACGAAAAAAGATAAAGTAAAAGTAGAATATAACGCACAAGAATTCGTGTATTATAATACGGGCGTAAAATAAACACTGCCGCCGCGGTGGTGGCGAGCTCCGCGATCTAGTAATATCTAAAAGTCAGTCGACATTTTTAAAAATGGCGCCGCTTCGATTTTTTTCTCATCTGTTGCGCGTAAAAGCAACAACTATTTTTTCTTCCTCTCTCTCGAATGGAATGTGAAGTAATCCCCGCTCCGAGTTTCTCGTAATCTCCCGCCAGCCTCCCTCCGCCAGCCGAACGCGACGTTTCTCTCATCGCGGATTCACGGATTTTAAACTCGCCTAGCTATCGCTCATGATAATAATTATTTGAAACGTTACACGTCGCCATGGCGACGTGTACTGTTTAACGGCGCACGCGAGACGCAGCTTTGCCAGACAATCGCATTATTGGCGCGATGTGTTTTCCACGATGTTAAATTGGCTAAACATAAATTGATATGCGATCAACCGCCGCCCTAAAAAATACCCATGTGTCGCATACACGTGTCGAACAGCTACGAGCTCGTTGACAGCTACTGAAAGCGAAATGCGGAGGAAGGAGTTAAATTCCCGCGAACACCCGGCACGAGGATTCGTAAACGAGCTCAGACGATCTGCAAACATCTTGGATTAATTCTCCAAGTGCCGCGCATCGTGATTACTAATTATTAGTTGAATTATAATAATTTAACCACGGGCGGCCTACTGCTAATAATGATACATGATACCACGCACTGATTCATTAAGGTTATATATATATATATATATATATATATATATATATATATATATATATATATATAGAGAGAGAGAGAGAGAGAGAGAGAGAGAGAGAGAGAGAGAG